ACGGTGTTGAAATGGCTGGTGATGCCCTTGGTGTAGGAGTCCTTCATGTGCCACGGCGCGTTGATGGCATCGTGAGCAATCCTCTGCGCTTCCTCGAGCGACGCCGTGCTGCTGGCCAACGGGTACAAGCGATAAGGGTAAGCCGAGAACCTGGATTCGTACCTCCTGAGCATCACGCTGTTGAGTTTGAGAAGCTGAGAACGTGCAAACCGCGAGAAAGTCTGATCTGTCAAAGGCGCCCCCAGCATGTCGAGAAGGCACCAGGGCTTCCGCGTGGGCAGGCCCATCCACGAGTCTGCCAAATCGAGCATCTTCTGGCTGAACTTGCCTATGGCGGTGTCGCCCTTGTCCAGTAGAATATCCATCTTCGACCGCTGGTCGTCCCTCTTGCTGTTGACAATCGGATCGCCGAGCAGGGGGTACAATAGCGTAGAATCGCACGCTTCAAATATCCCCACGCACACCATGAGTTCCCAGAAATTTCGCTCATCACCGTAGTAGGCCTTGATCTTCTTCGCCCTCACATTGAACACATGCTTCCAGTAATCCGCATCTGACATGCCATCAACTTCTCGGAGTAGGGGCACCTCCTCTTCGTCAGCATCAACAACACCCCGAGCGTCTGGATGTCCGACGAAGCTGTCGATCCCTATCGTGTAGACCAAACGCCGCAAGAGAGTCCTCTTCATATTCATCAACACATTTGTCCAGCGACTTTCACAAGGCCGAGGGTCCGACGACCCGAATAAAGCATGAACCAGTCCTGTGCACAGTTTGTCGATCGCGTCGGACTTGCCGTTGCAACACGGGCGACCAGTCTGAGGATGACGGCAGTAGTGCTTGATCCTCTCGCCACGCATGTCGCCATTCAGCAAAGGCATCAACGCTTTCAGGTCCTTGATGAACTGGGAGTCATCTGCGCCGCCCTTCCGCAGGTGAAAGTCAGCCGACAAGTCAAACAGAACATCAACCACGAGCTGGAACGTGTACTCGACATCCTCAGGGGGCGGCTGCATGATGCAATCGACGTTGCTCTCGACCAAGAGCTCAACTCCCATGATGTTCCGCTCGAGCTGGGTGCGGTACCTGTTGGCACTGGCGATGGAGAAATGTCTCATCGTATGCTTCTTGACGGCCTTGAGCTTCAGCTTCCCCCTGTGGTGCGCGTGTATGCCACACGTATCTGGCCAAAAAAAACAAGTAGTCGATTCTTTGCGCTCCTTCAGGATGTCCTCAGCACACTGACCCCACATTTTGAGGATGCTGAGGTTGGCGCTGGCTCTGTCTGCCATGGGCTGGAACGTGAACGTAGATACAGCAGACGAAGCTGGTGCGCTGCCCTCCGACCACTTCACGATGTTGAGCTCGTCTGGAATGGCCTTCAACAGCCCAGGGTAAATGTGCTTCGCCTTCTGGCCTTGCAGCTCGAACGGCTTTGCGATCATGTACTCGATGAAGTGGCCTTGGATGTCCGACTTTCTGTTGAGGAGCGTGAACTGCGCCGTCGATCTCTGGATGAGCGTTGGCTGCGCCACGTTCTTTCTCATGACGCGGTAGCGCTTCCCAGGCTTCCATGCTTGTCGCACTTCAACTTCATCCCATAGATGTCCGAAACCCAGGTGCACGAAACGGTGATCGCGAGTATCGGCATCTGTAATAGAATCACGGCTTCTCTTGAGACTGTCCCTGAAACCTTGCAGTTGTCTGGTGACCGCGATGTCGCAAGCAGCCTTCATCAAGCGACGATGGTCCACTCCAATGGCGCACTGCTTCTTGGAAGGTAAAAAGCACGCCCTCGATGCAATCACGAAGTCGTCGCTGGTCAAGTGTCGCTTGAGCTTCCCGAGCGTCGTCGACGACTTGTTCCCAATGAGCTGTGATACACCCGGAACCAACGCCACGCTCTTGAGCTTCATATCGTGTTCCGCTTTCTGCTTCGCCAGCTGGCCCCTCAGCTTCTGCGCGTGTTTTTTGGCCTTGCCCTCCCGAGCCTGCGCTGCGTGAGCATGAGACCGCTGCGAGTGCTTCGACTTCTCTGGAGGCGAGTCGTCGATCTCGATGACCCCGAGCGCTAGCACGTCGCACAGCTCAACTGGCCCTGGCGGAACCTGCTGCTCAACTGGCCCTGGACGCAATGGAACCTGCTGCTCAACTGGCCCTGGTAGAACTGGCTGCTCAACTGGCCCTCGCGACGATGGAACCTGCTGCTCAACTGACCCTGGCGACAAAGGAACCTGCTGCTCAATCGGCCCTGGCGGCGATGGAACCTGCTGGGCTGCCACATGAACTGGTGTCCGTGGAGCCACCTCGCCGCCATCGCTCGAATCGTCGATGGTCCCGATGTCGGCCAGCATGTCGCTCAGGTGCTCCATGCCAGCCTCAACGTGGAAAGCCTCGACCACGGGCACCCGCAAGCCAGAGGCACGAACGATATGGAAGGCGGCGGTGGCAACCACCGCGAATATGGAAGCTGATTGCATCATCGATGCTCTCATTCTGAGAGAAACAACTTGGCCAAAATGGCTATCACGATGCTGATGGCGATGTTTGGGGGGATGATGCGCAGTGATGGCTATAGGTTTCCTATCTACGCGGGGTTTTGGTTGGGGGATAATGGTTTGGGGTAGTGACGGCCACTTGTGGGTTTGTTTTAATGGTGGTGATGGTGGGGGTCTCTGGATAAGGCCATGTTCCCCAAACAGTGCTTTCGACATGTTGCGCAATTGCGCGTTCTAGTGGCGACGCCTTGCGCACCGAACCACCTTAACTCATCTGTTTGGGGTCCACGCTGCACGAATCCTGATCTGAACCGCACGTGCGGCGAGAACGGCACACTACAATGAAAAGACTCAAGATGCGCAACAAACAGCATCGGTCTCGGCACCGTTCTCAGGAAGAGGGGCACAGTCAGAGAGCGCCAAAGCAGACGACGAGTGGGACGATGATATAGGCAGGAGAGACAGGGAGGGAGGACCAGGGGCCAAGAGGTAGATAGAGGGGGCAGAGAATAGGGCGGAGAGTAAACAAGTGCGATCCGCGCTTCGCTTCCAAATTGGGGTGGTCAACTTGATGGGTGGGCCTCCACACGGGCGAGGTAATGTCGGTCGTGGCAAACTGCCCGCCTGCACCTCATCTGACATCTACTCCTCCCACATGTTTGAATAAGGACAACTTCGGGGGACGCCGAGATGGCTTCAAGATAACCTCTGGCAGATACATTCTGGATCCATCACCGACGGGGCGCCTTACTTTCGACTTGAAGAACTAACGTGTTTCACGCTTCGGGAGTTGAAAGGGGGAGTTGAATACTACATTCAACTCTCTCGGGTCTTGGGGATTTCGCAGTTCTGCAGAGGAGGCCCATCTCTGAGGAACCCACGCAGCCAACGCAGCAGCCCCCCACCAGCCGGGCCGGGCGAAAGCGGGGGGGGGTAGCAGAGGGGGGGTTCCCAGACCCCCTCGAGTTATGAAAAAATCACGACGCGAGGTTTTTCATGATCTTCGGCCTCTGGGGGCCCTTACCGGCCCTCGGGACCGTCAAAAAACGACTCAGGACGAAAAACCGGTCCGGGGGAATGGGTCCGGACCTCTGGGGGTCGACGTCATGAAAAATTCATGACGTCGGGGGTCTGGGTTTGAGAATCAGCTCACGCAGCCGACTTTCCCGGCGCCTCCCGGCGCCGGAGGCCGCCATGTATCGAGGAGTGGACCCCTCGGTGAGGCCGAAAACAGCTGCGCGCCGCAAATTTCGTAACCCCAACCTTTCCCAAACCCCCCCTTTCTTTCGCCCGGCCCGAACCAGGGCCAGGCCTCCTAGATGGGGTCGGAGGATCGGGCCGCACCGCCGAGACTCACATCGGCGATGCATCGGCGGTGCATCGGTGATGCACCGGCGATGCATCGTCGACGTCGGCGATGCATCGCCGACGTCGACGTGAAGCAAATCGGGCCCCTCATCGGCGATGCATCCCGTTAGCCAAGGATGACAAGACTGGGATTGAAACTCGCGAGACATGCTTCTGCATACTGTTGAAAACTACTGAAATAAGAAACTCTGCACCGCGATCGGGATGACAAGGTGAGACAAGAGAAATGCACTGATCTAAAACAAAAGTGGCTACGCCGCCACCACTGCTGCGGCGCGATCCTCCGACCCCACCTGCTCCGACCGGGTGACCCCCATCTACAGGAGGCCTCTAGGAGGGCGGGGAGCGGGGGCGGCCCCGCGTGGCTCCCAAGCCCAGGCCCGTCGAGGAGGACCGCACAGAGGCGATCGTTGAGCAGGGACCGACCGTCTCGGCATTCCTATAGCCCTACCACGACATGTTCGAACCCAAACATGTTCCAAGAACAAAAGCAATGCTCTTAGAACATAAGCCCAGTGTGTTAAAACAGGACGCTCCCGGCCAGAAATGCTCTAAGAACATTTCGTGCAGATCACAAAAGGTTCTCAGAACATTGCTTGGTGGGGCTATAGGCGAGCCAGGACGCCTCGCCACTGCTTGAGCTCGCCCCACCCCGGTCCGGGCCGACCGCCGTTTGTTGGGAACCCCCAAACCGGGTGGTGAGATACCAGGTGGCGACCTGGAATCCCCAAAAAGGTCACCGCTGGGTTTGGGGACGCGGGGTCACCACCGGGTTTTGTGACTCCTGGACCCACCAGTGTCCAGGACATCCTCGGAAAACCGCACGAGTCCCCAAACCGGGTGGTGACACCAAATCGCCCGAGACTCACCGCCAGGTGTTGTCACCACCACGTTTGGGGACTACCAAGTTTGCCTGCCTCAGGTCGAAAACGAGCCTGGGCCTCAGGTCGAAAACGAGCCTGCCAAAAAGGGCACGGGGGCCCGCTCTCGAGCCGAGGAGGCTGGAGCAAAAGGTTCTCAGAACATGGTTTGGTGGGGCTATGGGCGACAGCCAGGACGCTTCGCCACTGCTTGAGATCGCCCCACCCCGGTTCGGGCCGACCCCCGTTTGCCTGCCTGCGACTTCCCCGGATCCTCCAGCGCGGTGGGGGACCGGCTCGGCTCGCCCTCGCTGCGGACCCCGCGTTGCTCCCAGCTCGGGGGTGGGGGGCCCCCTGGCGGCCTCGGGTCGGGCACGTCCCCCTGTAATGGGGGCGGAGCTGGAGCGACACAGTGGCCAGAGCCCGAAACGTGTGCAGCAGAGTGCCACAGAACAAGCCAACCATCGTCCCCAGACTAGTTTTAAGTCGGGCCTGTCTCCCTATAGGGGGATTTTCGACGAAAAATAAAAAATACCCCCCAACAAAAATAATAAATAATCCAAAAATAGTCTGGGGACTATTTGTTTAGTATTTTGTCACCTTTTTGGAAAATTTGTTGGAGGCATTTCCCTACCTAGGCTCTGCCTAGAAGGGTTCTTACTCTCTTAGCTTAAAGGGGCCGGGCAGTGGAACACGCCCCGGGCGGTCCCCCCAGTCCCCTGGGAGCGGTTCCCCCCAGTCCCCTGAGAGCTTTAGCTTTAGCTTTAGCTTAGCTTTAGCTTAGCTGTAGCTTAGCTTTAGCTTAGCGTTTCGCTTAGCTTTTCGCTTAGCGTTTAGCTTAGCGTTTAGCTTAGCTTTAGCTTAGCTTTAGCTTAACTTGAGCTTAGCTGTAGCTTAGCTTTAGCTTAGCTTTAGCTTAGCTGTAGCTTAGCTTTAGCTTAGCTGTTGCTCAGATTCAGCTTAGATTTAGCTTAGCTTTAGCTTAACTTTAGCTTAGCTGTGGCTTAGCTTTAGCTTAGCTTTAGCTTAGCTTTAGCTTAGCTTACTGTTACTACTAATGCTGCTTTCCTAGGGGTTCCAACTCCTAGGTAGGGTCGTACTGGGATTTGTTTCACTTTTCGTGGAAAATCCCCACCTGTAGGGGGACACGCCCGACCTAAGACTAGCTGTTTCTGCTACTTCTCCGTCCTCCTCCCGAGGAAGGACGTGCCCGCCTTGCCATTCGGGAGCGGCAAAGAGGGGGGCGTCCAAGAGGGGGGGGCGCAAATCATGACCGGCGGCATGTGCGCGGCCCAGCGGGGGGGCCAGGGACGTAATGAAATAAGAAGAGGCGCCATGAAATCTGGGGAAATATCATGGCCCGCGCCAAGATATCCACCCCCCCCTAGTCATCACCCCCCTCTTTTCCGCCCCCGATTGCCGTGGACGCCGCCGTGGGGGGGGCCCGGGCCGCCGCGCCCGCGCGGCGCTCCCGGGCTGCCCCCGCCGGAGAGGGGGAGGGGACGTCTCGCGGGCCCGGGGCCCGCGGGGCGCGCGAGGCGCGGCCCACCCCTCTCGCGCCTTCCGCGGGTTTGGACACCCGAAATGGGTACCGAAAGAATGGGCACAATGCCCAACAACAAATGTTGTCCCCAACCAGCAGCGGCCGCTGTTGGGCAGGCGGCCTTCTGTCTCGAATGGACACAGGCCGCGGCGGCGCGGACAGCGAGTCCTGTTCAAAATGAACAGGAACTGCTGTTGGGCATTGTACCCATTCTTTCCGTGCCCATCTCGTTCGTGCAGAGCGGGCGCCCTGGGCCACTGAGCTCGCGGAGCCCGGTGCGCTGGCATCAGGTCGGGCATGTCCTCCTGCAGGCGACTTTCGGACGAAAGCTCAAAAAAAAAACACGGAGGAAAAAGATTCAACAGCACTCAGGCATGGTGCAAAAATCGTCCCCGGACGAGCTTCTTCTGACTACTTTTGAATCTTCCCCCTGCAGAGGGACAGGCCCGACTTAACGCTGGCACGCCGAGGTTCCTCGGTCTCGGTGGTCCTGGTCTCCCCGGTCTGCACGGTGAGTGCAGGCGGCACCCTCGCCGGACTGAGCAACACGGGGCCCGCACATGGGCAGGATAGGAGGGTACCGATGCCGCTGGTCCTAGGGCATCTCGGAGGTGCGTTCGGACAAGGCTGAGGATGGCCCCGAGGCGGGCCCAGCGGTGGCGAAGGGGGCCCTCAAGGAGAGGCCCAGAGACAGGGAGAGAAAACATGCACACGTCCGAGCGATGCCACGGCATCGGTATCTGTAGTACGTATGTCTTCCTGCCATGACGCACCTTGCACGCCCGCTCGACCTCCTTCACGCGCGGAATGATGGAGTACGGGAACGGGTTGCCCCATCCGAAGCCACCATCCTCGTCAGTGTCCCACTCTTGCCGAGGGTACACCTTCATGACGGCGCGGCGCTGGTCCGTCTTCACCTGGTCTTTGCAGCAAGGCTTGGCGCCGTACGCAAGCTGGAATCCGTCCAGGTTCATGGTGGAGTGCCACCAGAAGTCGGGGATGTAGAAGATCTCCCCTGGGTGCTGCACGCAGTAGAGCGGCCTTTGACCCACTGGGAGTCTCTGCATGGCGCGGTGGTAGCTGCGCACAGGGAAGATGTACGGTCCCGTTGCATCGTGAACCGCCTCGCTCATGGACCCCGCGGGCACCACGTACCAGGCCTTCCTGCCCACGGACAGCCCCTGCCAAGTTTTGGTGTGCTTGTGGAAGGGCAGCCCGCTCTCGGGCCCCCCTATGAGGAAGTTGGTGGACTTCGTCGAGGACACGTTGAAGAGGCCTGGGGTGGACGGTTCCCCCAGGGCCGTAGGCGACCCGAGGAGGTGAGGAGGAGGAGGAGGAGGAGGAGGAGGAGGAGGAGGAGGCGGAGGAGGAGGAGGAGGAGGAGGAGGAGGAGGAGGAGGAGGACGACGAGGAGGAGCGAGGAGGAGGAGGAGGAGGAGGAGGACGAGGAGGAGGAGGAGGAGGAGGGACGAGGATGAGGAGGAGGAAGGGTCGCCTAAGCCCTTCGGAGCAACCCTCCAGGCCTGGGGTGCCAAACATTTTCACAACCTTCTGGCACAGAGGCGAGCACTTGAAGTCGTTGTAATACAGGTGCGTGTCGTTCCAGGAGCTCGCGAGCTCGCGGAGCCTCTGGAGCTTCACCTCGCCGTTCACGGCGACGCCGATGTAGGCCAGGTGCCCCCCCGCCTGCGCATACTCCGGCAGTGCGTTCACCCTGTGGTCGCCGTGGCTGGCCAAGAAAGTGTCGAGGTCGCGGAAGATCTGATCCTCCCGTGTCTGTGCGCCAGTGAAGACCGCTGGGTGATCTGGCACCATCCCGCCGTGGGCCTCCTCCCACTCTCGGATGTCGTAACGCGGGATGCTGGAGGAACAGTGAACCGCAGAAGCACAAGCTGTCGGAGGAACGCGCAGACTGCTCGGGTCGGCGCTGGAGCGTGCCAGGGGCAGCGCTGGAGGGACCCTCAGGAGGGGGGGGCTAGAGGCCTCCCGGATAGGGTCCGAGGGGTCGGAGGATAGTGCCGCATCGGCGACTCTGGCGTGGAGGAAGCTGGGCTCCGCATAGAGTCGCATCGCTCGCCGATGCATCGGCGAGGTGGCGCGATCCTCCGACCTCCATCGAAGAGGCCTTGCGCCGACGACGACGACGACGACGACGACGACGGCGACGACGACGGCGACGACGGCGACGGCCACGGCGACGACGACGACGGCGACGACGGCCACGGCGACGACGGCCACGGCGACGGCGGCGACGGCGGCGACGACGGCAGCGGCGCTGGAGGCGCCCACGGGAAGCGGGAGCTCAGCGCCGACTCGAGCAGCCCGCGCGGGCCCCCCGCCGGCCCGTGCTCGTGCCGCCTCCCGCACCTCCTGGAGCCTGTTTTTTGTTGGACTCTGGCAAGTTTACTTGCATGGACGGGGGGGGGGGGCTGAGCCTGAAGCAAGCCGCAAACGACTTGCACGTTCGGGGGGGGGGGGGGGGGCGCGGAAATCACGCAAGTCGAAAGGCACTTGCACGCTAGTATTCGCTTGAAGAGGGGCGAGGGGGGGGGGGGGGGGGGGGGGGGGGGGGTGGGGGGCGAACGCCACGCAAGCAAACTTGCCCGAATCCCAAAAAAAAACAGGCTCCGGGGCTGAGCTCGTCGCACCAGTCGTGCGCGTCGCCGCCGCGCACGCGCCGGCCCTCGTTGGGCGTGGCTTAATGGGGGGGTCACAAATGGGGGGGTCAGAAAAGGTCCCCTTTCGTGCCCCTTTCGGGCCCCTCCAGAGCCCCAGGGGGCTCGTTTAGGTACCGTTTGGGTACCTTTTCGGACCACCCTCGCCACCCCCCCCATTTATGACCCCCCCATTACGCGGCGCCCAACCTCGGGTGGGGCTCCGCGGCGGCCGCCCCGGCGGCGGCGGCGGGCCCCCGGGCGCCCCCCGCGGCGGGCCGCGCGCGGCCGCGGCGGGCCGGGGCCGCGGCGGGCGCGGGCCCTCGGCGGGCCGCTCCGCGAGGCCCGCGGCCTCCGCCGCCACGGCCGCCACGGCCAGCTGCGACGCGGGCGCGGGCCGCGGGGCGGCGCCGCGGGGCGCGGCCGCGGGCTGCGCCCCTGCTTTGGACGCCCGAAATGGGTACGACAGGTTCGTGTCGTGCCGACCCCAGCGTTGGTTTTTGACACCGCAGGGATCGTTCAACCTTGAACGATCGGCCGCTGCCGCAACGTCCGATCGTTCAACGTCGATCGATTCTGGGTCGCCGGCGGCGTTCAACCTTGAACGCCCACGCTGGGGTCGCCGCTGGTCGACACGACGCAAACCTACCGTACCGAAAGAAGGGGTGCAGCGCCCAACAACAAATGTTGTCCCAAGCCAACAGCGGCCGCTGCTTGGCAGGCGGCCTTCCTGTCTCGAACGGACACAGGCCGCGGCGGCGCGGCGTTGGGCACTGTACCCATTCCTTCGGTGCCCACGTCGGGCGTTCCGACCTGCGGCGCGGACCCCGTAGAAGGCCTCGTGGAGGACGGCGAGGGCGCCGGCGCCCAGCAGCAGGTACACCTACATAAGGTTAGGCCGGGCGCGTCCTCCTCTCCTCTCCTCTCCTCTCCTCTCCCCTCTCCTCTCCTCCTCTGCTCCTCTGCTCCTCTGCTCCTCTGCTCCTCTGCTCCTCTGCTCCTCTGCTCCTCTGCTCCTCTGCTCCTCTGCTCCTCTGCTCCTCCTCCCCTCCTCCTCCTCCTCTTCCTCCTCCTCCT